GTCATACTATATATATATATATATATATATATATATGTATATGCGTGTGCGTATGATCTTAAGTGTACTCGTACACAATTTAACAATTAAATCGATTGAAATTATATTATACCATATATACTATATTAACTCAATATACCATATACATTAATCCGATTAGTTGATATAATTTTTATAATTTCTTTTAATAAGTGCTTAAAAAAAGTTAATAACTCAATATAAATTGGGTAGACAAATATACCATGGTAAAAAGTGAATAAGAAATTATATGATATATTATTTTTGTTCTTATTAACATAAATTATTTTTTACATATATATATATATATATATATTATGAGATATTATATGGATATATACCAAAAAAAATGATATTAATAAATAGCTAAAAATTGATAGATTTCATTTGACATATATGTCAATCTTGTTACCAATATTGAATAATTTTTAATTTTATAATATCTCATGATATAATGTGCATAATCTTTGAACTTTGATAATTTCATTAGATGGAAGTGAAAATAATATACATACCATATATTCTTTTATTCAGAGATTTTTTTTTTAATTTTATATATCTTACACTTTTTTTAGTGTTGTCATTAATTTGTCCACCTGTATTTTTTTAAGATTACTTTAGTCATTGAAAAATTTTCAAATATTTAATGATTATACACTAATAGTATAAAACAGTTTTACACGACCATCTAATAACAATTTATATAAATTATAACTATATTAACTTTTACAATAATTATTTAAGACATATAAATCATAATTTTTATCAGTTATTAAAATTTTTTTACACTGACAATTATCATCATTAAATTTTAAAAATATATATTTTTTACACTTTATTTGTTTACAAAATAAAATTAGATAAAAATATTAAATAAATATTATTTTTCTTTTTTATTATTAATGACACTAATTTTTTATATCAAAATAAATTATAGTAAAGACTCTCACTTTAGTCCCTAAATTTAAAAAACATTGTCATATTAGTCTTTAAAAGTAAAAAATTAACAAATAAGTTCTTGAAATGTCAAATAAAATTTTTAATTTAACTATTTATTGATATTTTGGTTTTTGAATATATATGGATATTATTAATTCAATCACTTTTTTTTTTTTAATTTCAAACTAACGGTGATTATCAATTTATACTTTCAAATTTTCATTTAACAATTTTTTAACTTAAAAATTAATATACCATTATCTCTATTTCATTTATTTTGACATTTTAATAATTATTGATTGTTATTTTATAATATCAATATAACATTAAAGATATATCGATAAATTACATAATGCGGAACGTATTCTAATTATTGGTGAGAAAATGATATATTCGTGTAATTAAGTTTCATAATGAATTGTGTTGGTACTTTAATTATTGTTGAGAATTTAAAAGACTTAATGATATGAGTAAGTTACATATTAAATGTATTTTTAAGTCTAATGTGAAAGTTGTGAAACAAAAAGGAACCGAAGAAATAATATCATCTGAACATAAGAATGAAAATAAATGTTTACGACAAAATATCTGGCCTGGTAGCTGTAAAATCAAACTCGAAAGTTGACGTAACGCAAATGTTCACACCACATGGCAAATGACAAAACCACCCTCGTGTTTAATAGTTAGGTCCTCACACACTTATAAATCAGTGGAGAACTAGTTCATGATTTGTATAGTGTAGTGAAGGAGAAACATGGAGCATTATTACAAAATCCAGTTATTGGGCATAGTGTCACTGTTGCTTGTGTTTCCAAACACTCATGGATGGGGAGAAGATGGCCATGCCATAATTTGTAGGATTGCTCAGGTCACCAATTACTTTCATTCTCTCTGTCACAGTTGTATGAATGTGTTTTTGAATATATCACATCACTTAGACACTTACTTTACTCTTTCTATGAACAGTCTCGGCTCAGCGATTCAGCTGCAGAGGCTGTTAAAAAACTGCTGCCAAAATATGCACAAGACGACTTAGGGAGTGTGTGCTCATGGGCTGATCATGTCAGGTTTTATTTGCACTGGTCTGCTCCATTGCACTTTGCTGATACACCTGACTCCCTTTGTAATTTTCAGTATAACAGTAAGTTCATTTCTCATATTCTGCTCTTAATTTTATGCCAATGTTATCCCCCTTTGGATTTTGATATTTTTGTGTATGTGTTAAATGTAATCTTACTCTGCTATAATTATATGTATTTGATGACATATGCTACCTATTGTTAGCACAATTGTGAAAAATTATCAATTGTTGATACTTGATAGTGTACTATCTCAAAAATTAAATTATTTTTGCATTTATAAACTTCATGGATTAGAAATTCATCGATTCTTAAGTGGATGATGAGGCTTACTACTAACCAGTTAACTGAACATTCAGGGGATTGCAAGGATGAGAATGGAGAGAAGGGAAGATGTGTTGTGGGAGCGATTAAAAATTACACTAGCCAGCTCCTAGACAATGGCAAAGACACTCAATGTAAAACCCAATATTTTTGTTTATTTCTTATCTTGTGATGTGACTAACAACAAATATCTTGTTTGACTTGGTGATATCATATATCAGATAACTTAACACAAGCTCTTCTGTTCCTTTCTCATTTTATGGGAGATGTCCATCAGGTATGCATGATAAAGCTCAAAATCCACTATACATTAAGCTTACATCATTACACGTGATGTGACTTCGCTATTTAATTATTTAAATGTGCTCTTTTGCGTGGTTAATTGCAGCCTCTACATGTGGGCTTTACCTCAGACAGGGGAGCCAATTTAATTAATGTTCACTGGTACACAAAGAAGCAAAATCTTCACCATGTGAGCCTAATTCTCAGCTTCATCCACTACAACTGTATCATTTATTTCACAATCTACTCTACAGACTAATTTTATGCAATAGGTTTGGGATGCTAGCATAATTGAGACCGCAGAAGAAACATTCTATGACTCCAACATAGATGCCTTCACCAAGGCCATTCAAGAGAATATTACGGTATTTTATGCATCAGCTTTGTGTTATGAAACTGCTTATCAAAGTTCCATGCTTACTTGTAATTTTCTATAACAGAAAACATGGTCGGGTCAAGTAAAAGGATGGGAAACATGCAATTCTAACGAGGCTACATGCCCAGAAAAGTATGTATCCAAAAGTTTATTCCTTCATCACTAGTTTCATTTAAAGATTTTTGCTGATGGCAATATAAATATTTATACGGGGCACCTGAAAATTTCTCTTTAGTTGATCTACATCTACATGTTATTTGTTTAATAAATTAAGATGGATGATTTTTTCAGATATGCATCTGAAGGCATTCAAGCAGCCTGTCAATGGGCATATAAGGATGCCCCTGAAGGTTCAGAGCTAGGAGGTAGGATAAGGATATAATTAATAATTCCGTAAAGTTAAGAGTTTCATTAACTTTTTTCTGCTTCTCTAACTATCATGAAACAATACACTGCAGACGATTACTTCCGGTCACGTTTCCCAGTGGTCAGTTTGCGATTAGCTCAAGGAGGAGTTCGACTGGCTGCAACTCTCAATCGTATTTTTGGCTGATGCAACATCTTAATGTAATTTATTTATTGGAATATAAGATGTCTATATCTCTAAAAATTATATTATTAATAAAGTTCCTGCAATAGTGTAGGTTACGTATCTCATACTTTTTCAATTTAATATGCCATTCTATCTCTATGTAATATTTGATTCAGGTTAAAGATTCTCTCCATTCAAATTTAACATGAATGACCATTGAATACATCTCAACCATCCATGGTGGGCGCTGGGCGCTGGTTACGGCGAACTCACCACACAAATCATGTGGTTCACTCACCGGTGGACTAGCTACTGTAGTTGTTACAGTAGTGCGCAGTAAAAAATAACATTTTTTAATAAATTAATTAAGCTTTATTCAAAACATCAAATAATAATTAAATATGATTTTAATATGTTAATAGATTTAATTATAAATATAAAATAATATAATGAATAAATATTATTTTAATAGGTTAATTAATTTTTTTACACCAATTTAAATTTTATTAAAAGTATAAAAATAAATAACATCATTATATTAATTAAAATTTATAAAATAATTATCGTATATGTTTTGAACCATATCATGAGCTTGAGTCGTTATAAATTTTAATGTAACTTAATTTTAAAAAATTAGTTTAATTACTATTTTATTTTTATAGTGTTGTATATTTTATTTTAGTTTTTATGGTTAAAAATATTTTATTTCAATGTCTCTATATATATATACATACTATTTTTTCTTTTTTAATCTTTGTTTATTTTTATACGGACTAAAAGAAAAAAATTATACAATTATAAAGATCAAAAGCTTATGCAACTAGAGAAACTAAAAGAATAAAAAAAATTGTAAAATATAAAGATTAAAATGAAAAAATAATTACATAAAAAAAATAAAAAGAAAAATTTATGAAACTACAAGAACTAAAAAAGTAATTATACTTATAAACTTTATAAAATTGCTTCTCACTAACAACAGCCCCAAGTCGTACATGGACGATCACTATTTTAGTTTAAATAAAATTAAATTATTGATTTATTTATTATTTTTGTAATTTTTAAATAAAATTAATATTTTAAAATAATACTTCTTCATTTATATTTTTATAAATAAAAATTATTAACATATTAAAATATTAAACAATATCTATTCACTGTTTAATTTAATTATTTTGTATTTTAAATAAAGTTTATTTATTTCATAAAAAATATTTTTAACTGTAGCAGCAAAGTCGCTGACCCATCGGTGAAGCACATGATGCACGGGTTCACTGTAGCCCAGCTCGTTTGACTAACAAGGTGTATAAAAATTAAAAACTTGAAAAGGACTATCAAGCGTGTCACATTAAATCATTAAGATCAAGATAAATAATTAATATAATTATTTTAATTAATTTTATCATAAATTTAAATTTTATTTTAAATATACTTTTTATTTTAAATGACTGTTATATTTAATGTTAATTATAAATAAATGTATATAAAATAGAATTAACAATAAATAAAAATATATAAAAAAATAATTAATTAACTAATGATTGTTAGTTATATCTATGTGTCATAAAAAAAATTAATTTGTTGTTTATAATTAACTAGGAGAGAGAAACTTCAACCTTAACGTAAAACCAAAAATCATCAAAATGGTCAAACAAGCCGTAACAATGTAGGGGAAAAGCTGTTTTACAACATATTGGAGCTCCCGAGAATAGAATATATCTCAAGAGCATACCTTAAAACAACACAAGAGAACAAAACCAATAAGGTGTCAAGCTCAATTCATTTACTATTTAATTTTTCCATGTATTCTGTGACAGTAGATGGTGTGAAAAAACAGAAGGCGTGGCTCCCACTGTGATGTACACATCGGGAAAGAAAGGCACCCACATATATCCAAGTCAAGCACATTGTTCTGTATTCGATTTGAAACTCCCAGCACCAAACATGTTTGCATAATTGCACCAAGTATTATGGTCAAAAGTAATTGTCCCAGTTCAGGTACTGGGTAACCTTTGCTTTGCCTCATCTATGTGGAACATAATCTGCAAATATGGAGACTGAAGATTATTAAACAAAAAATGGAAGGGAGGAAAAAAAAACAATTCGAAGGATTGAAAATGTAAATGCTGAACATTTCAAACCTTTGTTCCAACGTAAAATGTCACAAGCAAGCCACCAAGGACAGGCAACCCTGTGTCATGAATTTCAGAATGAAATTGTCACACTGCAAACTGCAATTACGTTAAAAGGCTAAGGATACTTGACATACCTTCCTCGTGAAGGAAAGAAGAAAGCAACCAGTTAATGCCTCTTGGTCCAATCACAAAGCCAACCAGATTAGCCACCTGTCAAGAAATGTCACGGTATTTAAATTAGATATGGACTATATTTTTGTTTTATAGCCAGAATACAACAATGACTACCAAAACAGAAACAAATCGAATAATAACCACTCGGCAAAGAAAAAAAAGCCGAAAAGAATGGTTACTCAAGTCAACATGTAAACTAAACAACCATTTACCACTCTTTGAATAATCACTTCCTTTTTGGTGTGGATTTGTGAGATAATTGGCTCAAGTATCAGCAATTAGAATAGACTCAATAACAGTTCTATTGACAATTGTATCATCAGTTAGTTAGAACAGTTAACAGTGAATAGAAACAATAAGTGTAGGGATTAGGAGAGAGCCAGAAGTATAATGCAACAAAGTATGTGCATTAATTTCTTGTAATTTTCATAGACTATCCAAATAGAAAATACAGTCCTTGATATGGTTGAGTATACAGTGTAACAAGCACGACCTGGGCTATAAATTTCAGCCTCACTTTGATATACACACACAAAAAAAGTGTAGCAGATGTGATAAAATATATTTTTGTTATACTCCGGGTTCAATATGGCTAATGAAAAAAAGAAAAATTTGAGTGTAATTGGTTCCACTTGTATTTACGTGTAAAATTGAACATCAAATTTGTAGTATAAAAGGTTTTGAACTGGATCAATAGGTTCAACACCTGGCCCCATTAAATGTCATTCTTTTACTTTCTCAGGTAGCCAAAAGCCAAAAACATTGACGTGGATGTTACATAAAAAATAAAATAATTAAAATTTATGATATTCATATATGCTCTAAGGGCATTCAAAGACAAACCATGAGGCAAGTAATTGTGACTGCACCGGCAACAGCACTGAGTTCACGAAATATGCACTCTCCTAAAGAACTTTGGGCCTGATAATCAAATTTACCTCCATGTTAGACAGCAAGAATCACAGCATGGCCCAATGAAAAATTAGAAGATGAAAGTGTGGATATGCATTACCTGAAATGCTTTGGCCGCTGATTTTAAAACCAATTCAGGGATAAAGAATAAACACGTCAACCATGCCCATGAAAGAAGCTTCCTAAGGTGCACAAGAATAATCAGGCATAAAATATCTGATAAAAAAAACTGCAACTTTTATATATAGAATAGGTTGAACTTTAACAGTTAAGAGAACATACCACTCTAAATCATGCCAGATAGCAACAAATGTGAATATAACCCACACATTTAGTAGCTTTTTCTTATTTCCCCCGAGAGGAATGTATATATACCTGAATTTCAACCCAATCAATATTTAAATTATTATCTGGGAAACAGAGAGCAGAGTCCAGGAAAAAGAATTGATTGTACCTCACAAGCCACTTGTTGTAGGAAGCATGCCAATTTTTCCAAAAGCCTTCCAGGTTATGGCAATTATTAATACATTTTGGCATATTCTCTGGAGCCTCAATTCCGTTTATCTACAACACATGATACCAAAGTAATAACTTTCTTAAAATATTCTTCAAATATGTACTTGAACTTTTATGATATATGCTTAAAGATCAAGTACCATACCAGTGACCAGAAACGGAAAAAGCGCCAGATCAGTAAAAATTTTAGCCACATGAAGTTTAAGACCTGAAACAAACAGTAAAGAATGACAAAGCAACATGCTGATCAAATATGGAAAATTTAGTTGTCATAATACAAAAACAACCACCACTGAGCCTTATCCCACTAGGTGAGGTTGGCTAAATGATCAGTTGATGCCATAAGGCTCAATAAAATCACTTAATTGATGAACATATGTTCTCTTACACCATATCCAATGATGAACACGTCCATAGGAGACAAGTGCTTCCACAAACCACTAATTGATTAAGAAATTATTTCAGCTACCAAACAATAAAATTTGATTAAAAATTAAATATAACACATGGTTCTTTCCTGAATACTGAAGTTCTCACCTATTGGCAAAGGCATTATAGTAGAATAGATGTGTCATTAATTCCATAAGGAGAAGACTAAATACCCAGCGGAAACCATTGAGTGTTACATTTCTCACTGAATTAGTGTTTTGAGGAACATCTAGCTGCAAAAATTAGAACAACTGTCATCAACAAAACAGAAACTCAACTAACCATTCTAAAACACCTCGACAATAATCAGTGACACAAGAAACATTCAGGAATTGTTAAGAGAGAAAACAAGACATAATGATTTTTGTGTTTGTTACACAATGGAGAATAATATATATACCAACTCATAAAGACAAGGATTTACAGTTACCCAAGCTACCATACTTAAATAATTACATAATAATATATGCTAAAAAAAATAAGCCCATAATAACCTTTTAATTCTAAAACTCCCCTTAAGCTAGTGCATGTAAATCATACGCATCAAACTTGTTACATGTATAACTAATTCAAGGACCTCTTAATGGCATACTGGAGACATCTGCTCTTTGATTATTTAAATTTATGAAGCAAGAGATAATGTCTCAAGTTAAGATCTTTATCCTAATGAGATGATAATCTATTTCAACATGTTTTCTATGACTCACCCTCTTTCATCTTTTTATTTTCTTTTCAAATCATCAAACAACTGAGTTACATGCTACTAAGGTCTTAGTCCTTCCCGCCCCAGGTGGATCATTTCCTTTGGTAGGCCTACTGTGAATATTGTTGGATTTGATAGATATACCTTGTGGCAGATGATAGATATTTTTTTTAGATGCTGAAATTACAAAGGTAACTCTTCTAAAATTTCAATAAAATTTGAAAGTATAATTTATTTTAGAATAAGTTCTTGCTAAGTTAGTTAGAATTGTCAGATTAAGTGGTATCTCTATTGACTTAACCTATGCGCCAATCATAGCTCTGATTTTGGGTTGTGACATTGGCCTTGTTTGGTTAAACTCTTCATAATCACTTATAGGAGAAGCAAATAGGAAGACAATGAAATAAGCTTATTTGTCACCTACTAGGTTAATACAACACTTACCCATTCCTGGGGCTGAGAAGATTTGTCAATGGATTTATTTCCAGACTTCCTAAATTACTAGGTTTTGAGGTTCATCTTGGGCTTTCCAAGACTCCTACATTGCTCATAGAAATATGCTCATTTTGTGCTTTCAAACACACATACATTGCTAGGGTAACAGATGAAATTTTCTGAAGTGGTGCTTCAGTTGGATGGATTGCTGAGAACAGTTGTGACTGATCAGAACCCTTTATTCATGAATGTTTTTTTGCAAGACCTCTTAGCTTGAAAGCTTACTTGCTACATTTTGCTTTTGAACAAAACAAAGAATTGGCCTGTTAGGGTTCCATGAGCGGAAGTTTGGTACAACTACAATACTTCTTAGTTCTTACCAAGTCTACACTAGCATGTCACCTTTTGAGGTGCTTCATGGCAGGAAACCACCAACAATCATACAATGTATTCCAAGTGAAACAGCAGTGGAACAAGTAACATAGGAGTTGGGAGTACAAGTTTTACATGGCATAGAACTTGATGAGGATGCATGCTAATTTTCACTGAAAATCAGAAAAGTTTCAGAGTATTGCATCTATCTTAAGTATATATCCACATCCACACAAGCAGCATTCTATTCATCAAAAGATCAGCCCTAAACTTGATGCAAGGCACTTTCACCCTTTTAAAGTCCCTTTAAACATGGTGTTTTTGCTTCTAAGCCGAGTTAAATGGTGGAGTCTCATAAATTTCCTATTTTCCACGTTTCTTAGTTGAAAAAAGCCATAGGACACTGCCATGTCTGTCCTACTTTGTCTACTAGTGTGGCTTTAGAAGACGATTTTTCCTGCACAAGAGGCAGTTTTAGCTGCAAGAAAAACCATCCATATGGATCTCCAATGAAACAATGGCTAGTGCAATGGCAAAACCACTCTGCAGATAAAGCTACTTGGGAAGATGCTCTTTTTCAGGCCAATTTCTAGTTTGTTCCTTGAGGAGAAAGCAGCAGTATAAAAGGGGATGATGATGGGAACCTGAGCCTTGGACCTATCAATTGTCATAGCCTCATAGGCATGAAAGGTTTACAAGAGGCCCAAAGCTAATGATATAAGTTCCGAAATCATGCTGAATTAGAAGATTGATAAGTTAGCAAGGGACAGTATCAGTAAGGAGAAACTGATTATGTAGGTGGAGCTCATGGAGTGTGAGGGCGGATTGTGTTTGTTGAGAGTGATGGTGAATGAAGAGAACATATTCCTTGTCGTAAACGTGCGTGAATAAAATAACTATTTAGACAGCTGAAGGCTAAGATCTAGTAAAATTCAAAAACCTAATAACATAATTAAATTATAATTACGCCTAGAGTTTCTCAAATCTCCACCACCTAGCTCCTATCATAGCTAGCTACACACCTCACCAGCAGATCTAACTAAAACCATAGAAATAGAATCATTCACACAACACAAACACAAACACAAATTATAACATAAATTGAGACAAACACAATTTGAGGCAGATCTGGAAAAGGAAGGTGTTGGTTTACATTTTTTTGAAAAAGAAAGAAAGGAAAAAGGTTGCGAGAAGAGAGATCTGAGAGAAAGAAAGTGGTAGTAGCAGTAGTACGAACCTGTGAGGTTGGGTTTGATTAAACTGTACAGAGGTTGTGAACAAAAAGAATTGAATTGAAAGAAGAAGAGGAGAGAGAGAAAAAGTAAAGGAGAAGAATGAACTACGATCGAGTTCCAACCACACTATCCTTGCTTTATATTTATCTTATTATTATAATAATTGAATTTTGGAGAAGATTTTTTTAATATTGTATGGTTAATTCATGCGGGCGGTGCCTCCCGCGATATATAACATGGCTCTAACCTTTCTCTTTCTCACACAGTAAAATACTAAAATATGGTTAGAATATTAAAATTAAAATACTTAAATATCAAGGCATCCCGTGGGGAATGAGAATGAGTCTTGTATGGTGGAGCGTTTCGCAACGCACGTCGTTTAACCTCGTCCCTACACGTGGCAGCCTCTCGGGGATTTAGGAT